AACCCGTACGAGCTACTTTAGCGGGCAGCGAATTTCCCTCGGGAGTAGTACTCGAGAAATGATCTCATCGCGTCGACATTGCGAATAAATGGGAAACCGCGTTGAAGTTGTTGCTGTCGCACAGTCGCACAGTCGCACAGTTGTTGCTGAAGCGATTCGCCAAGCTTAAGCGCCGAGGATAGTAATAGTGTTTCCAGATGGAGAATCTTTCCTAGATCTGCCGAATCATCTACGGGAAGAAAGTGTGTATATACCTGGAAGATGCGTGAGAAACGCTCTTTCGCATTCGATTTTGTTCAGCGGTAATTTTAACGGTGAATTTTTCCTTTCATCCTATTTCTCCATTTAATTCAGATAAAAATAAAGCTTTTTGCAAAATTCCGAGATGGACAAATCAACCGAGCGTTTTATTATTCATGTATACGCGGGAAAAGCGCGAATATTTAATTAGCATTCGGTTTGAGATTTAATTACGAGGACGTTTAATATCAAAAATCAATCAGTTACAACGCACACAAATAATAAGTTTAGAGATTGAATTTTTACTTTGGAAAAATATTGAAATTTCATCGAGAGCACAATATTGTGTGTTACGCGCCTTTTACTTTTATGAACTAAGAAAAAGAATGTTGCAAAAAAAAAAAAATGTCGGCGAAGCCGCTGTTGGTTCTGCGTGACAGGAAAAGTTTTTGTACCCGCGAAGCAACAGATTATTGGTCACAGATTGTAAACACACGAGCAAGGAGGAAGCTCGCCGGTGGTTTAGGTGCGCTGAACTTTGCACCGCATTTCTTCCCTCGTACCTTTCCTTCGTGGATTCGCCTGGTGCCCGGTGGGAACCCGACGACTTCTCAATGGAGGCCGACTCTCAAGGCGATCCAGGGTCGTTCTCTCACGGTGCGCGCACGTTTTGTGAATGTGTGAGGTATAAAATGGGATGGGATCTGCCGGTGACAAACGCGCGGTATGCATACACGCGCGCGTCAATCGCGCATCCACTTTCACCCACGTTGTACATTTTAACAGCGCACGTCGTCCATCGTTATCGGCTAACGTTTCGGCTACCTAGCCAGGTTTCGACGTTTAACTGCTCTCTGTGATTGACGGACAATTTACGAGACCACGGAACACGACGGAGATATATCGATCATACGTATATCGCATCTATAGCGTTGGCTCAAACGCACATGATCTCACGATCTCGAAAATTTTAAACAGATTGGATGGTAAAGTGGTGGTAACGTGATGCATATCTAAATTACAATTCGTTTTTTGAAACATACGAAATCTCACAAACTTTCCCTTTGATTTGATATTTTTTAAATAAAATTAACAATGTTTATTAACATTTTTCTATTTTCTATATTATGTAGAAGAAAATCTTAATCATCCGCTCGTCCTAAGCTAGTAAATAATTATAAAAGATGTTTTGTCGAATTATTTATTTACGTACGTATGAAAGAAAGCATGCCGCTGGTGAAGTCTTATAACAAGCATCTCGTAGGACACGGTGGTCTAATATTAGAAACACCAGATCCTCTTGGAGGGCCCCATGGAATATTATCTCATCCCTTTTAAGCGCATCCTGCGCATCTCCCCTTAGGTTTTTTCCCTTTCGCTTCTCCACAGTTCTTCATCCATCGCTCCAACAATCTCTCATAACTGTACTTTTCAGAGCATTACGATGGAATCCGTGACGAATGTGCTGAAATGATCAAATTATACAATCTCGATGTTTCTTATGAAAAAATGCGAAACGTATTTTACACATTTCGTCGTGCGATTCTTTTTCTTTCAATTATTTAGTTGATTCTTTATAATTAATAATAATTTAATCTTTGGAGTCTATTTGGTGTCTATTTATCATCTGTTCTAATTTAAAAAAATATCTTCAATTCTTCAATTCTTTTAAAAATAATTTATTTCGCAAAGATGGATCACGTCTTAGAAAACAGAAAAAATCAATTTAAATTGTATTGAAAACATATTTCGAATCTTACGAGCTAGTCGTGGTAAGATACCTGAAACATAATAATGTTGAGGTACGTCGAATCGATTACTATCGAATGACCTTGGTTAATTAACTCTGGTTAGCGGTACGACGTCCTTCTGTCTTAGCTGTAATATAATAGCAATAGTAGTAGTAGTAAAGAGTGATAAATGTATTTAGAATCCGGGACGCGCGTGCACATATGTAATAGCACACGCACGTACATACCCACATATAAAAATACATGAAAAATAATAAATTATGTAATTTGAGAACATATCATATTGTATTTCACATATGATTCTTTACGAAATAAAGAAAAAGTTTTTTAAATATTAATTTTTAAATATAAAACAGTTGCGTGATATAGGCATATATACGTTTAAACATATTCGGATACTCCTGCGCACATATTGTATGCATCTCTCGTAAAGGATGATGCATCGAGTGGCGCAATTGCACGGATCGTATCGCACGCAACAGCATGCCGAGAGAGACGCACGCCGAACGTGACGCGTACGCGGGACGCGGGCACGCCTCCACGTTATATGCACACGCACGTGCATATTTATGATCACGATTCGAATTACGATACGCATTTCCGTTAACGAGAGCGAACGAGAGCGAACGAGTTCGAGAGGAGACGAGACGGGGGATCCCTCTTGAAAGCGCGGAGGGAGACGAGAGGAGAGAAGAGACACACACGGATTTTCAACCTCCGACAAAGGCCAAACTCCAGAGAGTTGAAAACCTAGTTAAACGAGGGCGATCGCTAGTTTTGCAGTTTTACATGGTGGCCAGCGCGGCGCGTATGCGCTTCCCATGCACCTCTGCGCCCGCCACGTTTCGCGCTTCGATGCTCTCTCGACGGTCGCAATTCTCGTATTTTTAATCACATTAAAAAAAAAATTTTTTTTTAAAAGCTTGCGCCGAAAGCAAAAATATGACGCAAAAATATATAATGTTTTTTTTCGAATATAAAGTTATTTCTATAAAATAATAAAGGAAAAAAGTGTTGAAGAATTTTTGAAATGCTAATGTATCGCGAACTTCATCCAGATAGCAAAATTATATGAAAATCTAAAAATTATTTCCAGTGTTTTCAGCCATAAAAAGTGATCTTTTATTTATCGCGATTTGTAGAACTGACTGAAAAAATATACAAAATAACATATACCAAATATCCTGAGGATATTTGATATATTTGAAGATAGATTTTCCTATATGTTTGCTCGTTAATAATTCGCTACAGTTTGTTGTTTGTGTTAGCATGCATCGTAGCGAAGCTCGGAGATGTATTAGCCGCGCGTTTGAAATCCGCGCAAGCGGTAGCGTAAACATCGATCGAAACGCGAAGCTATGCACTTAACGAGCATCGACGAACGTCCTCTCCTGGAACGACGTCGATAGCTACCGGGAACGCTAGCGTTGGTAGCGAAGACTTATGGGAATGGTGCTCGTTAGTAGAAGCGCGGTGAGAGACTCGCGCGCGGATCTCTGGGATTAGGGCGTGCGGCAACAATGGACGAGTCTGTCGTCCTTGTATGGCAAGGATCTTCTTCTTCGCCGACTTTCCTCCGTCTCGCTTCATCTCTTCCCCGTTTCCTCTTACCCTTTTCTTCTTAGCGCTCGCCTACTATTACCGTTTTCTCCGATCTCGCGGCTCTTTTGTTACACGTGGTGCCGCATTGTCGTCGCGAAGACCATCCGCCATTGTCGTCGACAATACCAACAGGCGATTGTTTCTTAACCCATTGAGCTCGATAATCACTCAATCAGTCGTCTAGGAATAATTACTAAATTTCACGGGTGATAGACTTGAGTTTGCATTCGCGTGTATATTTGGAAATATATTTTTAATTCCGAGACAAGATTTGCGTAACGTTTATGGATTTAAATGTCATATATTCGAATGAATTGATTTGAGTTGATAATAAGTAATAAACCTGATTAGATTTAGTTTTTCTTGTTTATTAAAATAATATGTAATATTTCGTATATTTCGAGTAATATTTCGCATTATTTTAATCTTAGTACATAAAATTTGATTGATATGTTCTCGTGCTTAATTAAAAAAAGGGAAGTTGTTATACCTAATTAGTGCGGCTGCATGATAGATGAGAAATTTTTACATAAGTGAAAGAAAGCAAGGTTCCGTTAAGTAATAAAGCGAGTAAATGAATGTACTCGTTCGAGATCCATTATTCGGTAAAATGATTTCCTTTCGGATCTTGCTGACGTAAGTTTGAGGGAAAAGTTAGTAATTTACAATTACTTCCTAAATGTATCTCGGAAAATGTATCTTGTTTTTCCGAATTTTCTTCTCTCTTGTTACGCGTTATAAATGTGCTGTGCATCGTTCACAAAACAGACTTTCGTTCGCGGCAGCGAGAACAGAAAGTGTGTGTGTGTGTGTGTGTGTGTGTGTGTGTGTGTGTGTGTGTGTGTGTGTATGAATATGTACTAACACATAACTAAAAACTAACTATACTAATAATCGCGCCGCTGGATCGCTGTACCGGAAGACACGCTCTACGTGTTCCGCTGGAAATGGAAATTCTTCCTGCCTCCGTTCCATCGTCTAGTTAATTGCCATCTTCGCCTATTAGATTCACGCGCTTCTTATTTCACCTCGAATGTTTTTAGTTTCTCACTTGCGGTAAAATCTCTCTAGTTGATTTTTAGTGTTGCAGTCGTGCGTTTCTGCGCGTTAATGTAGTTCTACGAGATTGACCTATTTCTTTGAAAAAAGAATTACAGTATTTTTAACATTACACGCGATCATATAAATTTAATATATTTTCTTTATATCCGATATATGATGCTATTTTCTCTGTATTTCCAAATACGCGAATAAGCAATTTCGCACAAGTCGGAAAGTGAAATATCTACTACATAGTCAGACAAAATTTCTTTCACATGGAATTATACGCCCTAAATAAATAAAACTCATAAATAAGATTCTCCTGTTTCTATTTCCCGTTGAAAACTAGAAAACGACTAACCTAACCCGAAGCACATTGTCTCCGCCATTAAAACAATTTATGTCGTTCTCTCACATGAAGACATTTTCGCAGAATTTTATTCACATGTACGCGGTTGAAGCTGTTCAAGAGAATATTCTAGATTATCTGATTTGAAAATCGGCAAGTGCTCCAACTCGGAGTTGATCGTTGTTCGCGAGTTTGACAAACAGTCGCATTAGGTCTATGTTAAACAACGTGAGCGAATTGATCAGTCGTGGCTTTCGTCTCGCTGTGAAAAAAACGCGCGATCTTACCGGACGATTCTCTCACGCCTTTTCCCCGACGAGCGACGAGAGGAGAAAACGAGCCTTCTCTTCGAGCGCGTGCTCAAGAGCTTCTGCAAGCTCGCTGAATTTCTATATCCGGCCAAAGAGGAAGCCTATCTCTCCAAACGTAAACTCCATTCTTCCGCCGGGACTTCTTGCACGTTGGATTCCACGCTGCTACAGAGATTTTCCCACGGATACGAAACGTCGGCAAACCTCTGCGAAATTACGAAAAAAGAATTTCTACGGACGATGTAAAAGCGTTTGTGTATTGCGTATCGTTCAAGCTTGTTTTATTCGATGGTTGGGTTAGCTAGTTTTTTTTTATTTTTTTTTTATTGACGTATCGTGACAAATCGTCGTTGGGGTGCGGCCCTTGGCAAATTATCAGATGAATAATGATGCTTCGAGCGACGCGCGCGCGCGTTGAATTGTAGGAGAACGGACTAAAAAGCATAAACTGTAGAAAAGTTCCGACAAAAACACGAGAGTGAAAGAATTAGGTGACCTTATTTTTTCCGGTATATCATCATTAATAAGCAGCAACATTTCTATCTATGAGAAAATAATAAAATTGTTACCGAAGGGAGAAAAAAACATACGAACAAAGAAAAAAATTGAACATTTTTCTATAGCACTTTCGACGCTTCCGAAATTTGAGGAAGGAGGGATGCATCGCTCCTATCGCACTTTGATACGATAGTCCACGGCGTTATGTCTGCACGTCTTCTACTCCCTTTACACCGGGATTTTATCGTCGACATAAAATCCTTCTCTCCGTTATCGCATTTCCACGCAAACGTACGGACTTGATAAGGTCAAAAGAAAGACGGCAGCGACACCGCCGCGACGCCGTTAATTTCCATCAGGCGTGCTCGTCCAAGCTCGATCGAGTCGGGATCCCTATAGGTCGGGTAATAAAAGTATGTGAGCCACGTACGAAAGAACTACTAAGAATCACTTGACTCTACTCGACCCCGGTCTCTAACTTGGTCCAAATATCACGCGCGCGCCATGGGAAAAAAATTATTGTGCAGTATTTCTCTTTTATTTCTTCTGCGCTCTTTCTACTTGTGAGGATTGTCTGGAGGCTATATATAGAGAGCGTATAATTCTTCCGATCCTTTTTTATGTTTCTTTCTTTTTAAATACGGAACGTTCATGAAAAATTTTTATAAAAAGGTTAGCTGTTATGTATTAATAAATGCGTCGAAGATAGTTTTTAAAAGCACCTTAAATATAGCACGTCGCAATTAATGTTTAAAATCGGACGATCGATGGCTGGTTCGTTGGTCTTCGAATCTGAACGTAATTCTAAGAAAACTGATTTAGTTTGAAACGCTGGAACTATGAAGCCGGCATAATCCGTCTTGAGGAGAAGGGCGCATTTATTTTCAATTCTTGCCGTTCGATATTCTCCAAGTTCTTAAAAGGCTGAAGACGCTGAGGAAGCATCGAGGATGTAGTTGATTCGTATGAACGTGTATTACAAGATAAATGATGGATGAACCTGGTGCGTCCCGGTGGCGAAAAGATCACTAAGAGGATGCACAAGCATACCAACCAGCTTCGCTGGCCTGGTCCAGGTGGCCATAATGGCGGCTATCACGGTGCTAACAGGGGCCCGGTGAGAAGATGGAACAGCTTCCATGGTGGCGGTGGCGGTGGCGGTGGCGGTAGTGGTGGCACGGATAATTTCAACGATGGCGTTGGGAACGGTGGTATAGTCACGAAAGGTTGTCAGGAGCCCTTCAGGGCGGTGCCTAAGGCAGTTCAAGCCCTCAGGAGTGAGTCCGTCGACAGGACTCATCGAGCTCAGCCACCACCACCACCCGCGTTTCCCAGAAGGAGATTTTCCGTATGGTGAGTCCTCGCGGAATTACGTTGAGAAAATTTTGATTGAGAAAAATACCTACTGTAATAACAGATTTTCTGAAGAAAGTAACGAATTAATATGTTTTTTACCGTGATATATAAGCCGTCACAAAGGGAATTAGCGTTATTAGCGTAATCTTGTTTGTACATACATGGTGCAAAATCATTATCTTGTTATTATAATTTGCGTGATTTTCATTTATCTACATTTTACATAAATAAAGAAAATTTGAATGTTGTTTTCATTTCTGCAAGTTGATGAGTAAATAGTTGAGTTATATAATCTTTTTTTAATTAACTGTGAAATATAGATAATTTTTATCTTTTCTTTTTCTTCTCTTTCTTTCTCTCATTTCTTTTGAGAATCTGATTATTTGAAAATTATGAAATAAAAATATTTAATAATAAAAATTCTAAACTAAATTTATTTAAATTAAATTCTTTTTGTTTAGATTGTTTTTATGTTCAAGATATTTTTAAATAGATGTCAAACATCGCTACGACTAAAAGTATTTAAATTTGTTCTTGACGGAAATTGTTGACGAACAATTGACCGTGCTTTTGACCGCATGAAAGGGGAGTCTAATAGTGCGATGAATAAGATAAAAAGGAAAGAATAATACGAAGGATGATAGTTCTAACAATGTCATAGAAATATTTCATTACGTTGAATGGATCCACGTGGTTTAG